AGAATTTTGAATACAGAACCCAGTGTTATTTCACATCATATGCCTCATGGGCCCAGGGTCTCATTTCTAGAGTCTGCGATAGGTAGTTACTACGGAAAATATGGTTAACTGAAAGCGTAACAGTATACCTCGTGGATGATACAGGAAAACAGAGAAGATCAGAAAACACGTGTCCAATGGAATCAGTACAACTTCTATAAGTAAACATTCCTTGCTTCTGTATAATATAAGTACCTATATAATATTTAGAACAGAACAAAGCAGAACAGAACAGGACAAACCAGTGCCTTTAGCGCTTGTCTACCGAGAGAGTAGAAAACTAAATGTATGGGGATGGCACTTTCACAAGTGTCAAAATTTACGTCAATTCTATATAATTTGGTTTTCTATTCTACATGTAGACAAGCGCTAAATGGCATTTGGCTACAGCTGCTGAAGAGAATAGAATATAATATAGTACATAAAGAAAAAGGAAATGACAAACTTAAATAAAAAATAATAATGGGCACAAATCTGGTCTTAATCACTTAAAGTGATGTCTAGGAGACAACCACTACAAGTGAAACAAGTGAAACAAGTGAAACACGTGATGGGGAACTACAAAAATAAATAAATGAAATTTAAATCGTAGTTCCACAATAATCAGAAGCTGTCATAAACGTATTTAGGCTTCAGACAGGAACAAAGCAATCCCTTTAACTAACAATAAATTATATATCGTTTTATCGTCTTGTCAGATAAAATTTTAGTATAAAATGTCACGAAATGAAAAAGAAATTCAATAGATACTTTGTATCTCGCAGCTATAACAAGCAGCATATAAGTAAGTAAATTGCAATTATTCTATTTCTAATCTTCTCTTATTTCTTTTCTCCGCTCTTCTATCTTCTGAAATCTCTATCATGCATGACGTCTTCTTGTCATGTTACAGTGTTTATGTTATTGTTCTGCTCCTTTATTACTTGAACTTAATTTAGCATAAATAACCAAAAGTGTCCTAAAACCTTCGACATACCGAAATTAACATTAGCAGGACTACCTTTCTAATTTTGAATAGATTGTGACCGAATTAAACACAAAGACTTTTTTAAATAATTTTTGTAATGGTATGACAATAACTCCTGTTCCCAGAAATGAAATTCTTGCTGTCTTTCGCTGCCGTCATCGCCGTGGCCGTCGCCGTGCCTGCGCACCGCGGCCTGGTGCCCGTTGGACCCGCTGGCCCCGTGCCTGCTCCTGAGGCCCCTGAGGTCATCGAGCCCATCGCTATCGGACCCGCTATCATTGGCTCTTTCGAGCCCGTGGTTATCGGACCTGCTATTGTTCCATCTCCCGAACCCGTTGCCGTTGGACCTGCCTGGGTTGACGCCCCCGAACCCATCGCCATCGGACCCGCCATCATTGAGAGCCCAGAGCCCGTTGCTGTCGGACCCGCATGGATTGACTTCCCCCTTCCCGACGGTGGTGCTGCCTCTGCCCCCGTTGAGCCCTCTCCCGTGGCTGTCCTCCCCGGCCCCGTGTCCTCTGAAGTTGCTTCTGGAACTCCCCTTGTTCAGATCATCCTGAACATCAACCAGGCTTCTGCTGCCCCTAGCCCCGTCGCTGTTGGCCCCGCTGTCGCCCCTGAGGCTATCGCGCCCACACCCGTCCACGTTGTGGATGTTGCCCCTGAACCCGTGCACGTTGTGGAAGTCGCCCCTGAACCCGTGCAGGTTATCGAGGTCGCCCCCGAGCCCGTCCAGGTCGTCGAAGCCGCCCCTGTACCCGTTGAGCCCGTCGTCATCGGAGTCCCCATCCTCCCCGAAGCCGTCGTCGCTCTCCCCGAAGCCCTGAACTAAACACCTACCATCCCGACGAGCCACTGCGCATGACAACGTAACATCTAAAATTGTTTCAACTATTTACTTGGACTTTCTAACATCACCTTGAAACGCTTGTACGTCCATTATTGAGATACATTAAAAGACCTAAAATGTAAATATTTTGTTTTCTTTCATTATGTTACAGTTAAAGGGTAACTGACTACCGCGCAACGTATCGCGGGTTCGATTCCCGCACGGAACAACTCTTTGTGTGATCCACAGATTGTTGTTCCGGGTCTGGGTGTCATGTGTATGTGAACTTGTATGTTTGTAAACGCACTCACGACACAGGAGAAAATACAAGTGTGGCGCAAAGTTTTATAAAAAAAAAATATGTCTACGAAATACAACATGTAGTTGAAAAGATTTCAGCGGATTTCAGATTTCAGAAATCTTTTAGCGGGAATCAGATTGTGGAAACAAGTGTTGTAGAGAAGTGTAAAGCTGTAACTATGATATTTTATTTCGTGTACGTACTTTGATTGCATGCTGGCTACTAGCTAAAGAAAACAAGCATTTGCACTTATATCAGGAGAAAAAAAATATTTATAGAAAAATTCACACATACTATACTTAGGTCATCTCTGACATGTAATTAATTAGGTTCAGATAAACGTCATTATAAGGTAAGGTTTCTTGGTTGGTTGTTTGTAACGATAGTCATAATAATCATTAATTATTTTCTTTGTATAATGACAAGAGGGATAGGATCCCAGGGAAACTGAGAGGAGTCTTTAAAAAGTGTAGGCACGATTAGTGCGTTTGTTAATTGTTTCATGAAGTAATGTAACATTGTCGATCGATGAGTCTACCTGATGATGGTGCCACAGTATGGTCACGGGAACTCCGCAATGGTTTATTAAGCCTGTGCTCGGTTAATTTGTCAGACATTAAAATAAAATAAAAAATAAAAATTGTCAGAATGACCTGCGATAACTAAGGGTTTATATATAATAGCTACCTTGTTTTTGAGATAGATTAATTTGTTTGATGAGAAAGAACTTATTTACACTTTTTGTACAATATACAATGGTGGATTTAATATCTAGTGGCATTCTCTAACAGTCAACTTTAGGATGATGCAGAGAGACACGATAGTAGCGATCACTTTACACCTAGAACCGGAATGTTGGTCATTAGTTGTCTTAAAGGTGTAGTAGCAGGACAGTTATAGAGAACTCCTCAAGAGCTTAAAGATTTCACCAATGTGACTCCAGCCTGGTGGCGAAGGTATGGGCGTCAAGTGGCGTCTCGCCGAAAGCTTTATGACCAACTTAATTTTAGTATTTTTTCAGCAAATTTTTAGGAAATAAGTATATAGAAAACTGTCGTTTTTGACAGTTCGAAATAAGTATTGAATTTGACTAGTTGCCTAGTTGGCAAGTATACAATTGATTGTGTAAATAGTTTTGTGATGATTAGATGGAATAAGACGGACTTTAGTCTAAAGTCAAGCTACTTTATGACACCCGATTTATTGGTAGGTACGTATTAGATATGATAGCACCACAGATATATTAAATATTTTTTTAATATTTCTGTGGATAGCACCTTTAGCAATATTTGGCTGTATAATATTTTATCGTTCACATATCATAAAGTCATGTCTTTAGTACATGATGACTGGTAAAAACTATAGAGCGCCATCTATTACGATATTTCTTTCAAAGGAATAGTTCTAAGTGATTCTTTCTCTAACTTATAGTTGTCATCATCGTCAGGCCATGTTTACGGCCACCGCTTTACATAGGTCTCTCTACTAGCTCAGGTTTTTGTATCTAACCACTGTCATCCTCATTGGGAATGTCGTTACTCCACCTAGCTAAAGGACAGCATACACTACGTTAGATTAGGGCCGATATAGATTTTTCAATGCTCAGTTAAATTTTAACTGAGGAATACTTTTGATTATTTGGCAATTCTTCCATACCCTCTTGTCTGTTGTAAGTTGCGGCCATAATGAGTTTATACCAGGTGCCGGTGTTTAATTTGTGTGGTATTATGGTGTGTTAATTTTATTTTACAGTTAAGATTTAACTGATGATTGAAAAATCAGCTCTTAGACGAGGTCCATACTCCAGAACATGTTACTAACTTGTAGGTATTCAGGGTATATTCTTATCCATCTGTTGTGACTACTGATGTCCTATGATTTATCAGAATGCTTTTCTAGTTGAACAGTAAAGTCTACTAATTCATAGGTCTATGTAGAGCAGAACAGATAGCCAGGTCCAATTTTTTATTTTAATGTCCGTCTGGTAGATTATTTAAAAACGTATTTTTATTTTTTTACGGAAACGAATAGTTTCGACTATATATTGATTTGAAATGTCGCGTGACGTCACTTCTATGTATATGTTATATCTAAGTATCATTCTATTATACAACAAAATAAAAAAATACGTGTCTAATATTTTTTGATTACCTAACTGACGGACTAATTACATTTTTAATTTTTAAACCCTGTCATCATCCCTATTGCAGTAAGACATAAGTTTCTGATAAATTGATGAGATTATCATCTGTAATCAAACGAGACATAGTAGGATAACCTGTTTCTACTATTAAATCAGCATTTCCATCATTGTGAATGTGACCCTTCGGGATCCCTTCAGAAATCGAAAGATGTGATGCTATTATAACCTAACCTACCTCCGTTAACCCTCTATTTGATTTTTGACAAATCTATCAGCATTTTGCTCTTCACAGTTGGTGCTAGAGATGTGCAGAGATACCACTCTGCCAAGAGTTTTAGAATTTCTATGTAACTATGTTGAGATAGTGTGAAGAAGATTGTTCTCAACAAGGTGACATCGACATCCATATAAGTAGGTACTCGATAAACTTACTATGTGATAGTTCATACGAATTATGTCCTTAATTATTATCTGGTATATAATGGTTATCCAGATATTGTGAAACAGGCCCTAAGTTTGCTATTAAGACCCAGCGCACACCGGCGGCGGCATGGCGAAGATTTTGAGGATCAATCAATCGTACGGCATGCCAAAGAAGTTTGGTGACACGCACCGCGCGCCTCCCACTAAAATCGATCTTTGGCATACCGTTTCCATTCGTATGTTTGTAAAGGGTTTATTTGAACAACTTCTTTACGTTTTCTAAATCATATAAACAAAGTGGTGGTAAAAATGATGTTCAGTTTTATTTATCTTAGTCAGTATTTACAAATTTTCTTCATTTTGCAGTAGAAACTAATGTTTCTTTGGTAGATGTCTTGGATATCTTAATATTATTTAGTAGGCATTATAATTTAGTTGAGAGCTTCGGGGAGGGCGACGACGGCTTCGGGGAGGATGGGGACTCCGATGACGACGGGCTCAACGGGTACAGGGGCGGCTTCAACGACCTGGACGGGCTCAGGGGCGACCTCCACAACGTGGACGGGTTCAGGGGCGACATCCACAACGTGGACGGGCTCAGGCACGATAGCTTCGGGGGCGACAGCGGGGCCAACGGCGATGGGGCTAGCCTCAGCGGAGGCCTGGTTGATGTTCAGGATGATCTGGACCAGAGGAGTACCGCTGGCGACCTCAGCAACGGGAGCGGGAGCAACAATAGCGGGGCCGGGGACAACGGGCTCTTCAGCGACAACACCAGCGTCGGGGAGGGGGAAGTCGATGATGGCAGGTCCAACAGAGATGGGGTGGGAGTCAGCGTCGATGATGGCGGGTCCAATGGCGATGGGCTCGAAAGAGTCGATCACGGCAGGTCCGATGGCGATGGGCTGGAAGGAGTCAATGATAGCGGGTCCGATAGCAATGGGCTCGAAGACTTCAGGGGCCTCGGGAGCAGGGACTGGGCCGGCGGGTCCGACGGGGACAAGCTCGGGGGCAGGCACGGGGCCAGCGGGTCCAACGGGCACTAGGCCGCGGTGCGCAGGCACGGCGACGGCCACGGCGATGACGGCAGCGAAAGACAGTAGGAATTTCATTTCTGAGAACAGAATTGGACAAAATGAGTAAAATTTGCAAGTATCTAATTAATTAAATAATGAATTAATTTATAAACAATAGTGAAATGAATTGATACTCACTTGTGTTTACTTGCAAAATACAAAGTATGCTCATCAATTACAATTCACGTTAATTTATACGAAAGCGTTATCGAATCAAACGGCAAAACTTTTGTTTTATTGCTAATCTTAGAAGATAATGTTTTTGCGTTGATAACATTGCGATAAGTATTTAAACGGAAGTTTTATGTATTAAGCTATTTTATGACAGCTAGGTATCGGTTCATGACTCCGAGTAACTACGTACTTCTATTAGTCATTCACGATGGATCAAGTATACGCATTATAGGTACGTAGACAACTAGTAATATCCAGTATATTAATTATTCAATGACAAATTGTTCAATGTTTATTTCAGTAGGTATTAACCGAGGGAGTATAAATCTAACAGGTCTTTACAAAAAAACTACCTTTTTTTAGTAACTATCGTGAGACATACTAAATTAAGTAAAATCGCGGGTTACTCACGTGAGTATAACTGAGAAAAGCTCTACTAGTTTCGAACCACAGAGGGGTTCTTCCTCATGAGCAGCGTGCGCGGTCGCGGCTACGTTATTGAGCTGCGCGACGTCGTTTTTACTTAAAAAACTACATAATTAAACTGTAGTTTTCGTTCATTTTGATTTAAATGAACCCAATTTTAATACATTAGTGCTCATGTCCATATCCATCTGGTTTTGTTAAAAAATATGATAAATCCCAATGACAAGTATCAAGGGATTTCCCTGGCATGAAAATACGTCAATAAATTGTAATATTAAATAACTTTAAAACTAATTTACAATGGCAATAAGGCACGTTTTTGATAAATCGATGAGATTAGCATTTGTATTCGCAGCAGACATAGTAGGTTTACCTGTGTGTCTATTAAACATGTTCAATATCACATTTAACTTAACTAACGAAGCAATATGAGACTTGTATTGTGAACTAGCGGCCGTATTGGGATCTATTTAAAATCTAATTACAATAGAGTAACCTATGGAGTTTCTTGCTTGTTCTTCTGTTTCACTAGAGGACTGACCGACAGATTGGCATTTTAATATTTTTGGTCTAAAGACGTTGAAATAAAGGGATTTTAGACCAGAAAGGCATTTTCATGAGTCCCATGTAATAGGGAGTGAGCCTATTACCATATACCGGGCACAATTCCAGACTCCGTGCTACTACTGAGATGTCGCACCTGTCGCACTTGCGACCATTCGGCCAACGAGGCACACGTCATAAAAATAGTTTAATTTAAATTGTGTTTTTTTATGGCATAAGCTGGTAAACGAGCAGACGGATCACTTAATGGTAAGCAATCGGCGTCGCCCATGGACACCCGGAACACCAGAAGCGTTACAAGTGCGTTACCGGCCTTTTGGGGATTAGGAGTTTAAGGATCGTTGGGTATTCAGGGATTGGGGAAGGGTAATTGGGCCTCCGGTAACCTCACTTACACGACGAAACACAACGCATAAAACTAATGTATTTGTTGACATATTGTTCCTGAGGTGATGTTATCGGCATTGGTACTTAATTCTTAACGATTTCTTTACTATCCCCATATAAATACCGGATAAACTTAAGTAGGAATAACTAATAAAATGTTTATTTGGTGTAAAAAGCCAGATTACAAAATAAATCTTATTACCTAAACCAAGTCTAAATTTATTTAAAATCTGAACTAGGTACGAGCCTGTGTTACCCTTTGTCATAGATATAAAAAAAAATCTGACAGTCTCCTTTATCCTTTGTGACAAACCCTCATAGACTTCCCTCTAAGTTAAAATTAGCTTGAACCGATATTATAAATGTGACATTAGATGGGTTTTTTTTTTAAGGGGGGAAAATCATCGAATGACTGCCCCCGCCTGGGTGAGGCGGGAGGGAGTGTCAGACTCTTACTGACTAAAAACCACCCCGTTCCTTCTCCTGCACGTCGAGCCGGAGCCCCGGTTACCCGTTAGGTTCTCCGCGACTCCGAATCGGCATCGGCCCTATTGGGCCCCATCTGTGGTGGTCTGATGGCTCTTTGAGGCGCGCGCGGAACGCGACGCGCCGTACGCTCGGGTCTGTTTCTGGTCGGACGGGGAGCCACCCATGCTCGCCGTCCGCAGGCCCGCGCTTACGGTGGCCGGAGATCGTCCCGCGATCCCCGACGCCCGGTGTGTCCTTCGCGATGGCTGGGTTGCGAGGAGGCAGCGCTTCGCTGCCTCACGCGTCCCGCCTCCTCCTTAGCTAGCATGACTGCTTCGCAAAAGGAGGAGACGGCATCCCAATCCCCCTCGCTCCGCATCATGGCCTGCACTAGGCCCGGACGCGAGAGGTCGCCATCGCCGATCACTTCCCTGAGGACACGGCGGTGCTCAGCCCACGAAGGGCATTCTCCCACCGTGTGTTCCACCGTGTCCTCAGGGCGGTCCTCGCAGTGATGACACCCGGGCGTTTCCTCCCGCCCCATCAGACACAGGTACCTCCCGAAACTGCCATGTCCGGTGAGGACATTAGATGGGTTTGTATGTTTGTTATTCAGTCACATCATAATGTGATATGTGTGGAGTAACACGTAGGCTGATTTTTACTCTTGGCAGAAGCTATCATTAATATAAGAACACATACATATAACATCACGCCCTTTTATCCCCGAAGGGGTAGGCAGAGGTGCACATTTCGGCACTTAATGACAATGTAACACCCACTTTTCACTATTTATGTTATAAGTCCCATGTAATAGGGGGTGAGCCTATTGCCATATACCGGGCACATTTCCAGACTCCGTGCTACTACTGAGATTTTTAAAAAACCCAGTAATACTTTGCCCGACCCGGGAATCGAACCCGAGACCCCTTGCCCAGCAGTCGCACTTGCGACCACTCGGCCAACGAGGCAGTCATAATAAGAACCTTTTATTTATATTCTTCCGATGCTTTGTATGCACCCAGCAAGGCTTAAACCTATACTTTGGTGTTGTTAAAATAATATTGTTAAGTCATCTTTCGTGGGACTTATTTACTATCAGATACCATTTTCATTAACATTGCAATATCAGACAGTTGGGGAAAATAAGTGAATAAAAGAAACCAGTAAAATATTGATCAAAACAGTTATTTAATGTTCGTATTCAAAATAATATTAACAGCGAAATGGAGACACGACCATCGTTATAGAAAAAGTTATAAAATCTATAAAAACTTCAGTAGTGCACACTCGTAGTTTAAAACTTAAGTCGCATAGATGTTCACAGTGCGGTAGTCTTCTTAGTGGTGCTCGAGGGGTGCGACAATTGGTTCAGGGAGTACAGGCGCACCAATGACTGCAGGTGGAATGTATACGGGTTCAGGTGCGGGCGGTGCATCGACAACATCCACGGGGTGTACGGGTACGGGGGGAAAAGGCAGGGGGTAAACGGGCAAGGGGTGAATGGGCAAGGGGAGAACGGGCAGAGGGTGAACGGGCAGAGGGTGAACAGGCAGAGGGTGAACGGGCAGAGGGTGAACGGGCACGGGAACCTCGTCAACAACATGCACTGGCTGAACTGGCACAGGTGAAGGTGAAGGTGCAGGCGCGCTCTCAGCAGAGTTGATGTTCATGATAATTTGCACAAGGGGACCTTTAGGAGACGGAGAAGGGGCAGGGATGACAGCAGGACCAATGGCAACGGGCTCAGGAACAATGTGAACAGGGTCAGGAAGAATTTCGGGTTCTGTGATAAGAGCGGGTCCGATATCGATGGGGTGTACATTGTCAATGATGGCGGGGCCAATAGCGATAGGGTGTAAGTTGTCAACGACGGCAGGGCCAATGGCGATGGGGTGGAAGTTGTCAAGGATGGCAGGGCCAATAGCGATGGGTTCAGGTGCAGGGACTGGGCCAGCAGGACCTACTGGCACCAGGCCTGGGTGGGCTACAGCCACTGAGATGAGGGCAGCGAGAATCAGGACTCTCATGGTTTCTGTTGATGACAAATTTAATTATTAGAGGTAGTATTAAAAAAGAAGAAAAATGTTATATAACTATTCTATTATGTCACTGCACAGTACATTTCACTTAAGACAACACTAAGTCTACACAATCTAAGTTCAAAAAATTCAAAAAATGACACCGTACCTGATTGTTTTCTGATTCAGAGAACAACTAGTCAATAATCAATCATTTTGGGTTATTATATACATTTCTTTTATCAATGGAATGAAATGTAATACTAAAGGATACAGATAATTGGGTGCAATAAATGCATTAATGAAAACAATAACATGGTAGTAGTAACAGACAATAAGATATACAATTAACAGAAATAGTTGGAGATGTGGCTTAGACATACGTTTATTTAAATTAAAGATATGATGGTTATAGAAATTACATAGGAGGTAATCTAACGGATCATTCTTTTCTTTCTATATTTATAAGTCATTGAATTTCGACAACTGTAGATTGATATGCAGACATGAATGAGCATATTTTGGATTAAAAGCTCTTACGAAGCTGCCAAAACTAAAAAGATCTTAAATCAACAATGGGCGAATCGGACCAACCGGAGTGATACCAAGGCCTCACAGAAAACCGACTATGAGTGGGGTTAGAAACAGTTAGGGGGGAGGCACAACTCCCCCCCCCCCCTTCCCCAATTTTCCTAATCCCCAAATCGCCGACATTCCTCAAAGTCCTAATCCTTAAGAGACCGATACTGCAATTGTAACGCCTCTGGTGTTCCAGATGTCCATGGGTGACGCCGATTACTTACCATCAGGTAATCCATCTGCTCGTTTACCGGCTTATAAAATAAAAAAACACCTTCATGCTGAGATTCAAAAGTAGATATCAAGGCTGAGGCCGATAAAAATCACTGTAATTCGTAAAGTTGTAACGGTTGAAAGGAAAGAAAGATGGTTAAATTGTGTGTGGGATACGAAAGGAATGGATGATTGTGATGCGATCGGAAAAGAAAAAAAAGGGGCAGAATAAAACATGATGCACTGATTTCAAGTAATTGTAAAGAGTAAAAACACTTTAACAGTGATGGACGAGGAGATGATGGTAACTGCAAAAGAAACTCATAATAAAACAGTGGACAGTGTTAAAGACTACGGCGCTCTGATTGGCCGGCTCCAGAGAACCAACCAATCCGATTGCCGAACGCTTGCCATTCTGATGATGATGATGAAGAGCAAGATGAACAAAATAAAAGATTCCATTCTATTAAACAAATAAAAGTTAATAATGTTAAAAATGACAAAGGCGAGGATTATGATCACGTTTAAGTCAGTGATGACGTCACAGTAGACAAGTGTATATAATCAAAATTTATCGTTTTATTAGCGGTTTATGATACCTGCCGAATTAACAATAGGTTTATCGAGCCGACAAATAACAGGGCTATAAATTTAACTAAGTGTTTTATCGGGACGATATCTTTTTGTTATGTTATGCCACTGATATTGCGCATCGATGGTTTAATTTCACAATTTCAACAGTTTTGTGGTCATTGAGTGACTATTGTATCAATATTTGATATTTATTTTGCGAGAAAATTATGAAAAGTGTACTCTCGATTTCATAAATATTGGTACACAAAATTTTAACACATTACGTCGGTTTTTGGTGACTGACGCTTAACTGAGGTTCTGCCTTCAATAGTTTTAGTTTTCTGTCGGCAGTGCCAGGCATAAGGCGAACAGGCACTTTTAAAATGTTAAAATAGTATTGTATTCCTTTGGTGTTGCGGGTGTCCATGGGCGGCACTGATTGCTTGATGACCATGAGTTGATACATCAGCTCGTTTGTTTCCTATTCCATAAAAATAATTGCCCCTACTCAATGCCAGTTGCAATTTCATATGCTTTTAGTTATTGATTTTTGTATTCTTATTTTTTATATTTGTTCGGCCGACGTTTGGTTACTATCTCGCCTGGTGGCGATGCGGCCTACGATGGAGCACGTCTGCCTAGAAGCAACCTACCTATCTTTTGCACCTATCGAGTATTCAAATGGTATATGTCTATCGGAGTGGTAGCTATAACAGTAGTAGCTGACAACTATTATAGTAAAGAAACAATTAAATCGAATGATTAATAAGAATATCGATAACCAATCATATTTTTATTAAACCAGGGATTTAACAGCTGATAACGATGAATGTACAAACGGACGTTTCTGGAATATTATTATACTAATTAAAACGCAGAAGTACTTCGCTTTTAGTGTTGACGATATTATCGTTACTAATATGCAATTCGTGTATTTTAGAATTTCGATTCTAAGATTATTTAGACACCACTGACAAACGGTAAAAGAAAGCATCGTGAGGAACCCTGGGCTTATAATTTTTGATAATAAGTTTGAAATCGCCAACCCGCATTGAGCAAGCGTGCTGATTAATGCTCAAACCTTCTCCGTCTCCTTCTCTCTCTCTCTTCTCTTCTCAAAGAGGCTTTTGGTCAGCAGTGGTCACTTATAGGCTGTTGATGAAATAGTATTTTTCAGCAAATGGGTTTACAAAAATGTAAAAAAAAATGGTTCATTAATTTGCTCCACATAAAACTCTACTGGAAGTTAAGTCGTATACGTGCTGAATCAAATAATTGTAGCAGCTCTTTCAAACCACCCTTCAAAGGCTTCATTATACGGTTCTTGACTTTTCGAGTCGATTAACCACAGAAGATATAATCTAAGATTTGTAAAGGAATCTTCAATAAAACAACTATAAAACAAGTTTTCATTACTTGTTGGTGGATTTAGATATTACGCTTGATAAGAATAAAAATTAATAACATGTGACGTGTAGACTATTACTGGTAGATTCATTTTATAATAAACCTCGTATTTTCAGGCGCCGGTATGATGACGTAATCTTGGAACATTTTTGTCCTAAGGGCGAAAGTCTTTATGGAGTCCTTTCATCAGGGAAATACCTAGAAGACTGTCAGATTTTTCTTATTAAAGATTTTCCTGAATACCTACCTAGTATTAGTGCAAGAGTCATGTTCGTGAACAGGCACCGTCAACTGGGACTGGTCAGCTCCAGACTGCATTATTTATTGTACTTAAGGTTATTTTCTTTTTCGATCTCTTTGACTGGATTTTGGTGTTATAATATATTGTTCTCACACAATCGAACCAATAAAACTATGTAACTGGAGAATTGTGTAGTGAACCTGATTGAAAAAAGAGAGTAACCTATGGAGTTTCTTGCTCGTTCTTCTCCATAGGAATCTACACCTTGGAATGAACGAATAGCTTCACTTAAATTTTTTTTTGTTGACGTTCATAAGTGCCTTCCTGCTCTAATTGAAATAAATGATTTGTATATATATGTCTCTTTCATGTCACTAATTTAGACGTGAAAGCCTTTGTGACTGCATCGTTGCTGCTTTTGTTGGTTCAATCCCCATGTTCCGATTTTTAACCGAATTAAAAATCGGTTCAATCAATAGCGAGTTAATCGACCACAAACATACATATACAGGTCAATGCTCCTTTTTTTTCTTTTTGAAGTCGATTAAACATACGTTCTGCCCAGCTTGCATCTTTTCAAAACACCACTGTGTCCGAACATAGATGTCGCTGTTATTAAAATCTTAATAACATGAATGTCTCGTCTATCAGATACACATACTTCTGATTGTTTACAACCTACTCGTGACTGTAGTAAGGTCTAAAGTTCAGCAATTAGGAATGTATCAAATTTATTGCCCATTCATGATAAAATAATAATCTTTCTGCTTGATAGAAAGTAATAGATTAAGTACGGCAACTTTTATAATGAAAACAGTAGGCTCCGATGTTACACTTGAATGCATGTCAATTTTCAATTAAAATGAATATCCAACAATATAACCCAATTATGTAACACCTATTGTACACATTATAACGCTATAAAAATTTGAATTTGAATTTGGGGGGTGAGCCTATTGCAATACACCGGGCACAGTTCCAGACTCCGAGACTACTGAGATTCTTTTAAAAACCCAGTTATACTTTGCCCGACCTTTTTTTTATTTTTTGAGGGGGGAAAGTCTTCCAATGACTTCTCTCGCCCAGGTGAAGCGGGAGGGAGTATCAGACTCTTACTGACAAATAACCACCCCGTTCCTACTCTTGAACTTCGAGCCGTAGCCCCGGCAACCCGGTTAAGTCTTCCGCGGCTCCGTATCGGCATCAGCCTCGTTGGGCCCCATCTGTGGTCTGATGGCTCCTTAAGGCGCGGGTGGAACGTGACGCGCCGTACACTCGGGCCTGGTTCTGGACGGTTGGCGAGTAACCCGTGCTCGCCGTCCGCAAGCCCGTGACTTTGCCCGACCTGGGAATCGAACCCGAGACACCTTTGCTAGGCAATCGCACTTACAACCATTCGACCAACGAGGCAGTCTACAATCGTATATCTACGTACTTATTTACATACTTTTGTTATAATCTTTTGATAAAGAAAGTATCTGTGCTTTCACTAGTACTGCCAATGCCAATGTCGAAGATTATACTAAGATACATAAGACCGCCTTTACATTTCTGATAATAATTAAGTATTGTCTGATGACATCATAAAATCCGAAATAAACAAGTTATATCTGCGCATAAAGCGTAGACGTGATACGATATTTCACAATTATGTTAAACACGTGTAGGTACTTTAGCTTTCACAAAGAACTTTGTCCCCAAGAATGAGTGATTAACGGATTAAGGGAACGAAATGATTGCAGTTTGATCCGGAAAAGACTGCTGGCTCTGGTATTCCGTGAACCATTTGTAGGAATTGGAAGAATATTAATCGGAACTGAACTAAAGTCCCTCAAATAAGATTATAATAATATAGGTAGCGGACACCGACCTCGACCTATCCCATAACATGAGAAAAAAAAATAAAAAATTGTACATAATTTGAAGAACTCTTTATCATATTCAGTTTTCCCAATTGTTTTCCTCTACCAACTGCTGGTTTTCTCACTTTAATAGGAAGCCCGTTAGAACATCCTCGCTTACTTTGTATCATTGAATATACTATAAGGAGTATAAATTATCCTACATGTTTTAGGTATTAAGGTTAGAAAAAATACTGAGAGCGTGAAATAACGACAAAGATATAGTTGGTAAATTAAATTTATTGTATCACTTGGTTTCTTAGTAAGTGGGGCGCACCATAACGGGGACGGGCTTGACGGGCTTCACACCGACGGGGTTCACGGCGATG